CGATCCTCCTATAAGCTTCTCGCTCTACATGGGCGAGAAGCTGATGCTCACGGAGAGCTTTACAGAGAGACACGCCACGTTCACTCTTCCAGTGGTCATGGACCAGCACTCTGGATGGCTGCAGTGTCGGGCCAGCAACGGGAACCAGACTGAATACAGTCGATGGCTGCCTTTTGAAGTCGGTAGGTAATAAAACTCTGCTGTGTTTTTTTCTTTCTCTGTAGATCTGCAGTAAATACTTACCAAAATAAGTGCTACACCCCCCAAAAAATAAAACTTTATCATGAAAATCCCAAACTCTTTGCTGACTTCCTGCTGCAGTTAGCTGTGCTGCAGTACAAATGCTATCAACATTAGGAGTTTATGGTGTTACTTCATTGTGTTTACATTCATTGGGAAGCGTTTCATTCGGCTACAATGGAAGAAACCCAATCTGTTACGATTCGATCTTTGGTTTTTCTGTTTCAAAACAAAAGAAAAATAAAAAAAAAATAACCTTGTTGTTTTATTGCTTTTGTGTTTTTAAACTTAAATAAATGTATGCAAGATCAAAACGATTAAAAAACATAGTTTGATTTGATCAAATATATGGTTGCTGTTGTTTTTTTATATGTGATACTGGAAATGGCAGAAGGCGTCAAAGAAGAAGAGCATACAGGAGATTATTGCACCTCGTATTGTCATTTACTTTTACGTTGAATGTTAAATACATCTTATTCAGAGTTCATGAGCTCAATGAGATGCATCGACTGTAACAAGACAAGGATTTCTGCTGGGTCGGGGTTCGGTTTAAGTTAAACCAGAACTGCACACAGTTTAACTCGAACTGAGACAGTAAAAGTGGGCAGAGCAGCAAAAGGTCAAAAAAGGCCAATGGCTTACAGTCCCTCTGACTTTGTGTCTCTCTTAACCTTTCTCTAGTGTCAGTCGCCGGCCCAGTGACGGTCCAGTCTGAATATGACATGGGAGATAACTATGCCGTCATTGGCCTGAGGCTCTACTGCAAGGCGGCAAAGGGAACTCATCCTCATTTCCAGTGGTACCTCAACCAAACGCCTCTACATGGGCAGGGCAGCTTCTTCTACGTGGTGGATCTGCCGCCGGAGCAGTCGGTCCTGCTGCTGGCCGTGGGGAGGCGGAGCGCCGGAAAGTACCGCTGTGAAGTGTGGGACAGCTTCGACAACAGCACGGTCATAAGCAGCAAAGCGCTTTACGTGGACAAAGAAGGTAGACGCTGAATGCTGCTTGAACAACGTCTCCTTGAGACAAATCACTGACCGATTTCCCGTTTTTCTCCCTAGTGCTGAATCGCCTTCCAACCTTAGTGGTGGCTGTGGTCTTCAGCTGTTTCGCGCTCCTGATTTTCCTGGTGTTGTTTTGTTGTCTGTCAGGAGTCATCTTCAGTGAGTTCGCCTGATCTCATATGTTTGTACGTCTTCCTTTGCTGTGAAGGGGAGATGCTGAACGTTTGTCCGTTCTTCTTTCAGGGTGGAAACAATCTCAACAGAAGTCAGAGTGAGTGTTTTTTTATTTATTTATTGGAAAACAGAGTAATCTAAGATGGGTTTTTTTCTTTCTTTCTTTGGAGGAAAAGATAACGAATGACATCATAGATTCAAAGTGAAAATTAAAATGTCTCTATTCCAGTTTTCCTTTAGCGTCACAGCTGCTTTTAAAGGAATAGGTCATGATTTGTGAAGCGAGGTTCTGTTAAAACATTATAAACCATAGATTCGTCCTACCGTCTTCATAATCCAGCTCCCACAAAATTCTTTCAGAACCTCCCTCATTAGTTTTGACCATAATTCAGTATGAGAATAAAGTGATGGAGATTTGAGATTACTAATTGCCAGAATATTTTTTGTTATTAACCTAAAGATGAAATCAGAAGAAGGCGACTGAACCTAGTAAGAGTGTTGTTACTTATTAGCCACAGTTGTAAAAAGTCCTGTACTTACATGGGGTGAAAGGCCATTTAATGAGGAAGATGCCATTAGTCCACAAGCAGGATAAAAAAAAAAACTAGGTTAAAGTTGGAAAATGACTCAGGGATAAATCTTTTGATTTTTGTAAACATGTCTTGTGATCTAGTGAAATAGAAACTAATCTAAAATTTTCTGTCATTTCGCAAACAGACGTAGTTTTGCAATCTTGACTTAATTAAAACAGCAAAGTGTTTAACCCTTTCGTGCATAGTGGTCACTACAGTGGACAGCTGTCTAAAAGCCATTTTCTTGTGCTTCTTGTGGATTTTTATGTTATAAATGCACACAGACCGCTGAAGTGGACACTAATCCATTATAAGATACACTATAAACTACTGGCCATCAGCTGAAAATGCAAGAAATTATTTTTGTTAAATCCAATATGGCCGACAGACAAACAAGCATGCCGACTGACCCGGTTCCTCCTTCTACTGTAGATGGTAAAAAAAAAACATTGTGACCTCAGATAACCCCTAAAGAACAATACTACTGATGTGTTTTTCAAATAACAACTTTGTATTTGGAGAAAATTACAATTGATCACCTAAAAAGAAAAAATTACTAAATTTTTCTTCCTACCTTTTTGTACCTTCAGAAAATAAAATAAAAAATTGGAAAAAAATCCTGACACAAAGGATCATAATTCATGCATGAAAGGGTTAGTCTGATTTGACGTCAGATTTAAGAAAAAAAAAAACAGTGTATGTAAATATCCGGTTTCAGCTGCATCTTTGTTCAAAGACGAAGCAACACTATGGCGTATGCTTGTTGCTTCTTCTGGGAGAAACCATTTTACCACAATCCCACACCTCCCACTTGAGTTCCAGCCGATATTAAATACCCTGCACGTCTTCATCACAGTGTAAATTTGTTTGGTTGTATTTTCCCAAACGATTACACAGATTGTAAGAGTCAGGAGCTGAAACTTACGTAAAATGTTTCTGAAAGGCGAACAAGCTAAATGTGTTTAAACTCACTATTAGGTCGAGTTTTGTAATGGACGACAGACCTGTTGTATCTGCGATCGAGATGGTAAGTCGGCATTCCTCCAAACCTGAAGGTTTCCACCATGTGGCACCACCAGCCTGAATGCCTGACATAAATCTTCTCCTGTAGGACTGGACAGAGTACAACGAGGACCCTGAGGTGGCGAAAGCACCAAGAGAGGACGAACTTTATCAGGTGACTCCATCGTTCGGTTCAATATTCAGCCATTATTAACAAATATTCAAACTACTCTCCTCATGTCCTGGTCAGGAATCTGAAGCCTCTGAGGACGAATGGCCTCAGATCGAGCAGGAAAAACGGACACTGGAGAATGAGGCTGATGAAGACTCAAACCGAACACTAGAACTTTAAAATAAATGCATTTGGAGTTGATAATCTATACCTTGGTGCCATTTTAGTGTAGATATTTGCAGTAATAGTTTTAGCAAAAATGATGTTAAAGGTGTTTTTATAAAATAAGCAGTGATTTTTAGTCAAATATCTTGAACTCTTTCTTACATTTTGCAACATAACATCAACTTACTTACTTGGGATATTACACAAGTTTGCATTAAAAAAAAAAACATTCAGCATTTGTGACTGTGCCTTGCTGTTGAAATTCCCTGAAACCTGTCAATGGATGGCCAGGAATTAGACTGCGCCTGAAGCATTGACTATCCATTGCTAAACTGCAGAGGAGGGAACCGAAAGAGTTTGCATTTCTGCTGAGTTTGCACTTGGTTTGGTCATAACTTTCTGAGCGTCCTGAATGTGGTGCCACCAACCAGTGTTGTGCAACTAGCAAGAACAAGAAGTTAAACATGTTGAAACTGAATCATGTTCATAGTTCATCATCTGAAGGCTGTTAACCAGTTTCATAGCTGGTTTCTGTATTCGAACTGCCCTGTTGTTGAAATACGCTATAAACTCGACTCAACACAAACTACATTTCATTAATTCATCACTTTTAAAAATAATGATAAAACATCTGAATTACCCTGTGAATAGTATTATCATTTGTAAACTGGTCTTATTTAATTGATGCACTTGTGTTTAGCTCTCTTTTGTTCTCTTTGCTTTTTCACATTGGCTAAAAATAATAAAAGCTGTAATCATTTTCCTGCATTAATCAAAAAGGTGAAACTGAATTCTGAAAGTTTGACTGAAAGCAGCTGCAAACTTAGTTTTGTTTAACTGATCAATCATGCAAAAATAAAAATCAGATCTTCTTATGCGCCACTCCCCGCCTGCTGCAGGCTGCATGCAGTATCAGCCGATATATGGCGAGGGAATAATTTGGTACAATCGGATGATGATGCTTGGGACAAGAGCCTTGAGTTCATAATATTGTCGAGGTTAAGAAAGGAAAAAATGTTTCATCAACCTGCAGGTGAGCAACATTGTAAAAAAATAGCATCTTTAGTTCTTGTTTTCAGGAAAAATGATCAGGTTTTTGTTTAATTATAAGGAGAACCGAAGCCGAATCTCTTTTATTTCAACAAAGACATTCTCTGTTGCTGTTTTTAATGGTGAAAACGTCATACTATATTAAAATGTACATGACCATTGGGTTAAATAAAATCTGTATTAAAACATTTATCCCATTTACAAGACAAAACTTCAATAGGAGACCAATTGTTGGACATTTCAAGGTAATATCTAAATAGGGCATTTTAGTGATTGTGGATCAGAATTTTTTTCAGGTTTTATTGTAAATGTTGGAGCAAAACGTACCCAATAATTTCAGCTTTTAAATAGTTCTAATCCACGGTAATGTTCTCCGCATCATTTAAATGTTAAAAAAAAAACCCACTGGATTGTTTGAAAGAAATCCTGAAGAAAAACTAAGCATTTTTCTTTTGGACCTACATATCAAAGATGAGCTGTGCAGCAGGAGAAACGGGGGCGCGGAAGTCAAACTGGCCAAATTTTACTGTAATTCTGGCGCAAGGATTAAAAAAAAAAAAAAAGCAATGTGTTTGTGAAAAAGTAGCACTGACTGTCAGTCGTTCAGCTCCCCGGCAGCTCCGCCCCTCTCCGCGCTGCTCCCCTCCTCCTGGTGCGGCTCTCACTTCAGAGAAACGCTCTCAGGAGGTGGCAGCACTTTTTTATTTTTTAGCTTTGGTTCATCTAAGCCCTGAGGCTCTCTTCTCTTGTCCGGGGGATCGGCTCCACTCCCAGGGTCAGACATGGCGGAGAACGGAGGTGCGAGTGCGTACGGAGCCGCTCTGGCGGGAGGAGGCTTCGATTTCTACAAGTTCATCCGACAGCCGCAAACAATCGTGCGGGTCCTCAGCTGGGTGAGTGAGAGGCTGGAGGAGCTCAGGCTCAAACAGAGCCGGTGGATATTTTAACCTAATATGTAACCAGGTGCTCTCCGGTTTTAAATAAGTAAACTGGGGAGTTAAAACTGCTTCTTCATGGTGCGTCTCCGTGTTTGTTTGTTTGTTTTGTTTTTTGTTTTTTGCAGCCTGCGCGGTGACAGATCAACACTCCAGACAAAAGGCAGACAAATGTCAAATAAAGATTTTCACTTCCGGGATGAACTGCGTGTCTGAACGCTGCAGTTACTCTCTGACCTTAACTCTGTCCTACTTCCATGTTGTGCAATAGACGAAAACGACTATAGTTGAGGCGCTTATGAGGAGAAATTGTGGTAACTCGCGCTCAAGGGATATGCTTGTGTGATCACCTGTTGCTAGGTAATTTTATTAAATATAAATTCGCATTATTGTGTCTTGTGAAACACAGTAATATATTTACTGTAAGCAGGGCCTAATTCAGAAGGGCCAGAGCCAGTTTTGGTAGCATGATCTTCAGGGTTGTTAGATTATAATCTCTTTTTTCTTTCTTTTCTTTTTTTGCTGAAAATGTGACTGTAACCATGTTAACCTAAAATGGAGTAACAGAGTCATTGAAACTGACCAAACACATAGTAGGAGATGTGGAGGATGCAGTTAAAGCTCTCTGTCTGTGCGCCCAGGGGTGTAAGGTTAGGTTAGAGGAGGGGCTGTGACATCATTGTTGCCAGTGATTAGGATTGAAACAATTAATTAGATTAATCAACAAATTTAGTAACAGATTAATCGTTAAGTGGGGGGAGGGGACATGTTTTTGGAGCATTAATTAAGGCCAGAACTGTACTAAAACTATATACGTTTGCATTTAGGACAAAAACACCTCAGTGCTACTCCTAAAGTGCTACAGTTTTAGCTTCACCTGGCTCAAGTTTACTAAAAGAATCCTTTGTTGCATTTTAGGCAATAAAATGTTCTTCTTACTTAAATGAATTGAATAATTTATTTAATGTATTTGTAATATTGGATAAAAAAGGACTTAAGAAGTTAAATGACAAAAATGTAGAATATGTATCAGTTTAATCGTCAAAATAATCATTCTAATCGGTTACTAAAATAATCATTTGCACAATTTTGCGGCCTCTAAAACCACAGCCGGCTTCGCCTGCTTGGGTCTGACTCAGACTTTGAGTGTGACGGTTTCCGTCCCCCGTGTCCTGAAGTCGCTTCCTGGTGGAGTGAAACCATCCAGACTCTCTTTGTCTAATTCAGATAATCATGAGAAATGAAACCCTCCAGATTCAGAGGAGTCAAAATGTGCATTTCGATGCAGATAAAGTTCTGCGTTCAGGCTGTCAGATGAGGGCTGAGGACAGAACATGCCCTTGGCTGCCGTCGTCGTGTATGTGCTTTGGAAACACAGTGTGTGTGTGTGAGGGAGACGACGAGTGTGTTGCTGGTAAACAGAGGCTCTGAATGGGCAGGTAAGGTGATACCTCCCCCCACCTGCTGACCCTTTCCTGTTACTCCTGGTCATCTACTGCTCTCCCTGGGTAAATGTACTGCATGCTTGCTGCTGCGGCTGTGTACAACTCATCTGCAATTCCTTCATACCAGATCAGATTTTTATTTTTTTTTCTGGTCCCACGATGTGTTTTAGCTCGTCTAGGATTAAGAGAAGTCACCTTATGGTGGATTGTAGCCACTGGATTGTAGTCACCATTATGATCTGAAATGAAGAAAACCTGCAAAAGTCAACTACTAATGTTCTGTACAGTTCATGCAAGCATAGTTTACTTTTTGTAGATGTTTAAAAGTTACAATTATTACTTCTCTGAGCTACAGGGAGCCAGTGTAAGGACTTTAAAAATGGGGTGGTTTGCTCTGGTTTCCTGGTTTTAGTAAGAAGATTCACATCTGGATCAGCTGCAGGTGTCTGATCTTTTTTTTAAAAAAATCAGACCTATGAAGACACTAATTCGACTAAACAAAGCACTAGAGAAAGAAAACACATGGAGGCCTTTCTCCAGATCTTGCTGAGACATTTAATCTCAAATGTTCTTCAGGTGATAGAAGACCGACTTTGTAATTGTCCTCATGCGTCTTTGTGTCATCCACATTTTGGGGCCTGATCAGTACTTTCTAGCTGTAATAACGGGGCAACAGAAACCCAGAAGGCCGACAAAGTGCCTTGCCCAGGGACACGACAACTGAGGAAGATGGAGCTGGGATTCGAACCCGCGACCCACCGGGTCACAGGTCGAACTCCGACCACTGTCTCCCATTAAGTCCAACAGAACCAGCACCGTGGTTCTTCCACAGTCTTCATTTATGTGGACTGCACACTTTGACGAGGGCAGTCCCAGTGCTGTGGTAACCACGGAAACCGGACTGAGATGTCAAAGCGTTTGTCATTGTTAGGAAGCTGTTTAACTATTAAAGCAGGTATTTCAGTGATTGTGGTGATGGGTTGGAGATCGGCCTGTAATTCTGCAGTAGTGATTTGTCCAGATTGATTTGTTTTTTTGTTTTTGTTTTTTTTTTTTTTTTAATCAAGGGTTTGATAACTGATGTTTTTAAAAACACCTGATGAGAGGGATGAGTTTATGACAGGCTGGCCTTTCTTCAGGAAAGTTGTGGGTATGATATCAGGACAGCAGGAAAAGGAGCTTGTATGATTTATAATTCCTTCTAGTTTATTTTTTATTGAGTTGGTTGAACAGTATTGTCTCCAGATTGATATTGATTAGACATAACTTTAGTAATGGCCTTGATAATGATGATTAAGCCTCTGATTTTCAGAATTTTCTCTGTAAGAAGCAAATTCATTGCAGTCACAGGAGGGTTTGTTAGTCACTCATCTGTGGCAAACAAGACACAAGCAGGGTCAATATTTTTATTAATGATTTCAGAGAATAATGATTCTCTCACATGCTTCAGGGTAAGTGATATATGTTCATCCTTTCTTTAAGAGTTTGCAGCGATGTTGAGTTTTCAGCCATCTTTGTTTAACCTTTCGACAATCGCTTCTTTCTCTTCTTACTAGAGAAGTTCTCCATGTGGATTAGATGTAAATTACAGAGATCAATGAAATATTAACACACTTACTGATAAGCCCAGACTTTGTCCTTCGATTGTGTGTTACATGTTTGATAGTGGATATTGGATATTGATCACTGTTTTCATCCAATCATGTTTCTGCTAAAAACATAACACAGAGATTATGCTCAGTGATATAGTCATTCGCTAAAAATGACTTTCCTGACAAGCGTCAGGAAACATCAATTTACTTATATAGGGCAAGATTTTCGCCAGAAAACTTGCTAACCCCGGGCGCCATTTTTAACTCATGTTTTTGAGTTAAAAAATGGTTAAAGTTGACAGGAAATTTGGAAATATCACTTGATATTTATGCATTACTGGAAAACTGGACGATTAATGCCTAAACACCAAATGTAAAGTCTTAAAGAAAGCAGAATTAAAAAAATAAAATAAATTAACAATGCCAAGCCTGGTGGGAACACAAGTAAAGCCTGGTGGGCCGCCAGGCTTATAATACACTGGAGGAAACCCTGTAGGGCATAAAAACATTTACCAACATGTTACAATTCAATAAAGTAAAACACGATAAACAACAATAAGAACAAGAGAGCAAAAAATAAGGCTAAAACAAAATACAAATATACAACACAGACTGTTACTATGAAAGAATTGCAGGGAACAAAAATGAGTTTTAAGCAAAGATTTAAAAGTTTCAGCAGTTTTAGTAGTCCGTACTTGTAAAGGTAAATCTAATGTTTAGTAAAGCCAGTTTAAAAAGTCAGTGTTGAATAATTTATCAGTTGGAGGTTGCTTTAAATGGGGGATAAATCTGGGTTTTGATTTTTAGACATACATGTTTTTACAGAGGAAATCATGATTCTTTCATGGGAAATTATATATTTGCCATCTGTCCTGTCATACACCTTAAGCTTCAACCTGAACCTCCATTTTTCAGCTCCTGCTGCGTTCTCCTCCCCCCTCCGCTCCCATTATGAGTGTTGTGGAGGGAGCTGGTGGCATCTCAGGCATCACATGGCTAGCAGCTGCACCCAAAATGAGGTCACATGGTGCAGCAAGTAATCAGAGCGGATAGCGGCCGACCGCAACCACGGGGCAGCAGGGGGACGGGAGGGGCATTTAAAGTGTCGGCAGTGAGAAACGGGGCTGGTTGTGACGCAGTTTAATCTTGTTATTCTATTACCCGACTGTGGAAAGCAAATACAAGATGCTTTCATAGTCCTGCCTCCCGTTGTCGAACAACAAAACATAAAATTATGTTGCTAATATGAAAGCCAAGCAAATTCATTTTTCTTTTACATAGAAATTAAGTTGAATTCAGTTTTTTTTTTAGACATTTCCTTTTACTGCTTTCATAAACTGAACCAGATCCCTGCCTGAAGGCTAAAATAATGTGTAAACTAACCTTTTGTTTCAGCTTTATATCATCTTATTCTTTGATTCTTTCACGTATGTTTAAAAAAATCCTTGAATCTCCCATGGCAACCATTCAGAGGTGCAGCAACGCTTGGTTTCACAAAGCGCCGCCAATTTCCACAAAACTCCTCCAGACTAGAGGCAGCAGCAATTAGCACACACCTGGTGGAACTTCTTCGCTGAGTTCATGATACAAACTACTTCTCCATCAAAAGTTGCTAAGACTGGTAGAAGGCAGCAAGATGAAGGAACGCTGTGATGACTTGCTGAAGGTGGAGTGTCAGAAAGAGCAGGAGAGAGGCCAGCTTTAAAGTGTCACAGCCCAAAACAAATGTCTTTTTTGTATTTTTTATAACGACTGCCTCTTTTTCTCTCTCTTCTCGACTGAAGGTGTTTGCCCTGGTGGTGTTCGCCTGCATCACCACGGAGGGGTACGTCAACCCTCCCAGCAGCGCCCAGGCAAAGTGCATCTTCAACCAGAGCGACTCTGCGTGTCAGTATGCCGTGGGAATCGGGGTGATAGCCTTCCTGGCCTGCGTGGGCTTTCTCATGCTGGACGTTTACATTCCCTTTATGAGCAACGCCCAGGACAGGAAGTACATCGTCATGGCGGACCTTGGATTCTCAGGTGAGTGGTGGACTTTGCTGGCTGCATCAATCAGTGGGTTTTTTTTTTTTGTTTTTGTTCCCATCTTCTCTAAGTTTTTAGCACAATTGTTAATCCAGTAAGTTGGTCTCCATTATATGGATGACATGTAGGTGTAAGAGGATCTGTTTATACGTTTTATAAAAATGATGCAGCTGGTTCATACTTAAGATCCAGCAGTCTGGGGAGAGCCGCGTCCCGCGACCTCAACCTTACGGTCGACTCATTCGCACCTCGGCTGTGAATAATGAAAGTTGCCGTTGAACTTGTTGGATTTTCAAATACGTGGTCACTTTATTAGATACGCCTTCTTATTATGGGGTTGGACCCTCTGTTGTTGGTGAAGCTGCTCTGTTGGGTCGAGATCTGGTAACTGGAGTCCAGTGAACTCGCTTGTCCCATCAGAAGAGGGGTACGCTGTGGTCATACAGGGATAGAGGTTATCAGGTGCAATACTCCTGTCAGCAGTGGTGTTACATGATGCTCACCTGGTATTAAAGGGTCTAAAGTGTCCCGAGAAAAGATCCTCCCTTCCATTTTACCTCCCCCAGCCTGAACAGTTGCTACAAGGCGGGATGAATCCATACTTTCATGCTGTTGACGTCTAATTCTGACGCTACCGTCTGAATGCCGCAGCACGTCTTTTTACCGTTTGCCACAAATGGCTGTTTGAGCTATTGTTGCCTTTTATATTTCTTTCACTGCTCAGACGTCAAGACATCTATCAAACACGGCTACTGCTAACTGGGCGACTTGTCTTTTCGCACCATTCTCTCTATACTCAACAAAGTCTGTTAAATTAAATTCTCGCACCACGAGCCTCGCCACAGTCTAAGCCAGTCCGTTCTCCTGATTCTGCCTTCACGTTTGAAGATGTGTACCTAATAAAGTGGCCATGTGAAAGTGGGCCGTGAGAGGAGGTTGGTAAACATTTTGCCCTCCTTTTCAAAGGGGAAAACTCCTCCCTCTCTGCTCGTCGTCATCAGCTCTAATCAGGTCAACCCTCACATAAAGACCAGACCTGCTGCTTGGCAACCGATCAGAACAACAGCATCGATATCTGTGTCGATCAATGAGTCGGCCAACCAATCCTTGACATAATGCTAAACGAGCAAGAAACGGTAAAACAACAATCACACATTGAAGCAAAAAAAAAAAAAAAAAAAAAAAAAATTTTTCAGGCCAAGGAATCCTGAGAATCTTAATCGT